AGCCAATCAAATATAGAAAGAAATCGCTTTGTGAAGAAAGTAAAATGCGAGTAAAGAATTTGATTGTAAGACTTGTTTTCTGACCTTGACTTGCTCAAGAATGAATAAGAGCAGTGACCTGCACAAGAGTCTTTATCTGAACCATTCCTTTTTTAAAAGAAAGGGCTAAATTTTTTTAATACTACTTTTATGGCTTAGTAGAACAACATTTAAAAAATATTTTGTAAAATTTTCAATTAATTTAGTCTTTGATTTTCGGAGACTTTTAAGAAGAAGCCAGTGGACAAAAAAAAACCCATTGAAAATTTGACTAGTTCTTCTAGGTAGAATTGACTGATGATAAAACAAAGGAGTTTAACAAAAAAAGCAGAAATTTGAATTTTTGAAAAGTTGTATTCATAGAAATACGATTTCTAGTCGATTTTGTAAATTAAGTGTTCATTTGCTTAGAAAGAATCAGTTGCTTAGTCAATTCAGTTTTCAAGAGGAAGGATTTTTCCACTAGCTAGAGGAACAATTCTAGTTTTCGCGCACGGCAAAGGGCGCCAAGGGTCCTCCAAAGATTCCATTCTCGAAAGGTAGGAACAAAAAGGGTTCTGAAAGTTAAAACGGACAGCAATGATTTTTGGAATCAGTAATTATCCCTAAATTATTTAATATTTCCATTATATTCTAAAGAAAGAGTAAATTTTTTAAAAATTTATTTTTCCAATAACTTTTGAAAAGGATATACATTTATTAGTACTTTCTATTGAACTTTTTAATTTAAAATAAATTAACTTCATTCAACAATAGAGAAATAAAATTTCCTCATAGTCCTTTTCAGTGTTTATAACAAATCTTTCCGATTTTCATTTCAACAAAACAATAATTTCTATAGTTACACTGTATGGTGGAAATTCTTTGTAGTGCAGGTGATTTGACAAATTATTTTGCAATTGTTCGCAAAATTTTGAAAAAATATTGTTTGAACTTTCAAATAATTATCAAATTATTAACATGCATTATAAATCAACTTAGTTTAACAAAGATAAAAACTTAAAAGTATACATCTTGTTACCACTTTAAAAATAAAAAAAGTATCCCACCAAAGTCTGTCATTCAAATTATTTTATTCATTTTTAATTCCTCAAATAAAAAAAAGAGGAAAAAAAAAAGGAAAATGTCACCCTGAATAACTTTCGTTCTAATGATCGGATTTTTACGTACTAAGTGTCAAACTTAATGGTTACTGGGGTTGATCTCAAATATGCTAATTATTTAGCGCTAACTATTATCTAAGTTACGAAATCGGACACAAAAACGTACTTTTTCTGAATAAACATTTATTTTTTTGCATATTTGGATATTTAACCTTCAAAATATACGGGTTGGGTAGCTGAAATTGAGGAATATGGTCCCTAAAGTTTGGTCAGGAGAGCGATCTAAGGTTTGGACCCCTTAATGTTAATTTCTCTTTTTGCGTTTTCAACTGTATTTATTTAGTAGAAGCGGCAAAAAATTAAAATGAATTATTTTTAAAAAAAAATGATTTGGCGACAGTGAAGAAACATTTAAATGGTGCAATCAATTTTTAAATGTGGTTAACTTACCAGAAACTTGACATATGCGCCCGCAGGGTAAAATTTCATTCATATTTTGTTCGCTAATAGCCGATTGCTAACCCTTTTTTCTTTCTTTTTTTAATTATTAAATACGTTGTATCTTTTATAGTCGTCTAAAAATTTATTCGTAATTTAGTAAAGAAATTTGAATAAAACATTTTATTGAATAAAAAACAGTTTATTCAACGAATGTCGAGTTTTATAAATGCATGTTTCTGATAGAATGTGATTATACATCAGATTGTGATTATATTTAATTTCATTATATTATATTTTTTAGTTTGCTTCGTCAATAATTGACAAATTTCAATAATATACATTCGTAGATTTGGAATTATATATTCATAAATTTCTTCAACATATATTTTATAATTATTAATACGAATACGTAGTCAACATTTTTAAGCTTTTCAAAGTTTTTCAACATCTTATATATCGTCTTAATCTTAAAATAATTTTTTTTAATTACCTGTCAGCGTGTATTTCTCAGAACTATTTTACCAACTATTTAATTAAATTGTAACATTTTTAGAAATCTTATTCCTTACTCTACCACGCATATTATTTTTTCATTAATATACTTATAAATTTTTTGTAGTACTCTAATTTAGATTTTTCTTTAAAGTAAAATTCCTTTTTAAATTATTGTCAAGTTTCTATTAAAAGAAAACTTAAAATTATTGCCTGCTAGCTGAAAATTATATCTCATTAAGAAATTAAAAACATTTTGCTGTTTAAAATTATTCGATGCAAAACAGTTGACTATTTTATTAAGCATACTACTTTTTCGAAAAATGAAGATAAATAATTGATTGTCTTTTTTTGTTGTTTCTTGTGACTTCAACATAGGTTATTTAAAATAGTGTTGATGTTTTATAAGTCTCTACAATGTGTATAAAGATATCGAACATAAGAAGCTGCCGAATATGTAGCCAAAATTTTTATGCTTCTTAAAATATCTCAGTATCTTATAAGTCGTCCTAACATCGTAATTTTGAAATAAAATTTTTAATTACCTGGAGACGTGTGATTCACAGAACTATTCAACTAATTATTTCATTATATTTTTTACTCTTTCTGTATGCTACCACGGTTGATTTTTTTCCGATAGTATACTAAACTATTTTGTTTAATTTTTATTGGTACTGAAGGTTTTTCTTTAAACTCTACTCGTTTTAAGGAATGGCTAAGTTTTATTTTCGATTCTCAGAACAATTCTTATCAGCGAATTCGCCGATAAGAATTTAAGAACATTTTCTTTGTTAAAATTACTCAATGCAAAACGGACTGATAGTAGTAAATAAGAGCACCCTTTTCTCTAAGATTGTACAAACAAATTATTTATTTATTTGCTTTATAATTTCTTGTTTGGTTTGCGAAAAGTAAATACATATTAGTGCGACTCAAAAAACCACAACTGTTTGCTTTGTATTTTAAATGAACAAATTCGAACAGCAATTTTATTTCGACGTTTAAGCTTATATATTACACCGTTAACTTTAAGAAAGCTGCTCTTTTAAAAAAAAATGCTAAAATTGTTTTTCAACATTAGCAAAATTTCTAAAATATTATTATAGTATATTTTGTTATTAAAAAAAAGCCTTATATTTTGTTAAACAGCAAATGCTAAAAATTGAAACTTGTAAAAAGATTCCAAAGCCGTCCCAATTTTAGAATCACCATCCGATTTGAAAAAAGTAATAAAAAACACGAAATTTTCGAACTTATTTTGTTGGGGGAAAAAAAGAGCATGAAAATTACATACTTTTTACAGAAACTGTGATTTTCCTATATTTCGTCATGAGAGGATAAGAATGATATTGCTCCTAAGAACCTACTAAATAATTTCGTTATTTCCAGAATTGAAATCTGTTTGGCCAAAACATATTATTCCTCGAAAGCTAAAATGGAAAAAAATTTAACTATTGTTATTCATCTAAGCTTATTCCATTAATTAATATTCAAAACTGCTAGCTTAGTTTATAAAAAAAAGTCAAAATGTGAAAATAAACAAATAAAATAAAGTAAAAAATTAACTATTATTAATATATTATAGCTGTCATGTACATGCTCTAGTATAATTATCTAAATAATTATACACTGCTAGCTTAGTTTATAAAAAAAAATTAAATAAAATAAAAAATTAACTCTTATTAATATATCATGGCTGTCATGTACATTTTCTAGAAAAATTATCTACATAATTATAAACTGCTAGCTTAGTTTATAAAAAAAAATGAAATAAAATAAAAAATTAACTCTTATTAATATATTATGACGATCATATACATTATCTGGTANAAAATTCTGGTAATATAAATAATACTTTTCTAGAAAAATTATCTACATAATTATAAACTGCTAGCTTAGTTTATAAAAAAAATGAAATAAAATAAAAAATTAACTCTTATTAATATATTATGACGATCATATACATTATCTGATATAATTATCTACGCTGTAAAAACTGTTGTACAATGGAAGTTGAACAATTCAAAAAATTGAGTGAAGAGACACTTTTTTTTCAAGTCAACAAGTTAAGCCCAAATCGAGTTTTCATATACAATCAAAAATGTGTAATTAATCGACAACTTTTAGTATCGTCTAAAAGGCTATGTTGTGAAGAATAAAACAGTTAATTAATGAATGAAGCCAGCATTTGTTTCTTTTTCACAATGGTATCCAAATATTTTTTAATTTCTTAAAAATATTTTGTTAAATTCAGCTGATGTTTCTGTAAAATAACTTTTGATGCCTTTCACGCTAATACTTGTAGATGCTGTAGTTGATTGTTAATAAATGAGTTCATTGAAAAAAATTTACTTAAAATTTTTTATGTGGAACCAATTTTCCTTTCTTTACATCACTTTTTCAAAATAATTTTCTTATAAGTTAAATTTGTCACTAATATCAACTAACATTGTATTTGAAAAAAACATTTGAAAGTGAATTGAAAATTATCAAAGGAATTCTCCTTTTTTTCCCATCTATTTCAATAAAGTAAACCCTATTTGAGTCTATTTTCAAAATATTCAAATGGATTTTATGGAGAGGAAATTCATTGTTTGGTTTTTTTCCCTCCGTTTTATATAAACTGTTTTTACTTAGACAGTTAGTAAAAATATGCCAAGAATCTCTGCGTTAAATGATAATATAAATATAAGAACGTGAACCCTATTTGAGTCCATTTTTAAAATATTCAAATGAATTTAAGGAAGAGGAAATCCATTGTTTGGTTATCTTTTTTTCTCTATATTAAATAAATCATTTTTACTAAATTCGCTTTGTAAAAAGATTACTGAAAGCTCTGTGTTAAATGATAATATGACTATTAAATTCTTTGTTAGAAGTAAAATGCTGCATAGAAAATAATTTTTTTTTCTTTTAATTTTACAGATCATCAAACGAGAATCCCAAAATTAAAGAAAGCCAGTCTATTTGGCAAAAGGCAACATCCCTTAGGCAATCTTTTAGGCTTTCATCAAAATCCAAAGTAAGTGAAATTTTTTAATTATCCCATTCAATTAATAAATCCCATTTTGTTTTGTATTTATAGCTTTTCTCGTAACTAAAATAGCAGTCATAAAACGCTCGATACGGAAAACAAAAAATATGTATTGTAAGAAACTTTTGTTATTATAAAAAATGATTTTTTTTAAAAATATTTTTAAAGAATTATTCAGATGCGAAATATGAATTTGTCTGAACATTTTAAGGCACCACCCTGAAAAGTTCAATTTAATGTTTTCAAGTTTCATATATTTTTAAAACTATTTTATATTTATTGTAAAAAAAATTGTTTTAATAAGAAATAATATGGATTTTTTTTTATACTGGTCTTAAATCCAACTGTAATATTGTTCTAAATATATATATAAGCCATTGCTATAAATATATAAGCTGAAATTGACGTAGTGTACACTTGCTCAACAACTCAAACACACGTTTAATTAATATCCTAACACCGTTTGTTTGCTGCTTGACAAAAAATTTGCGGAAACCCTAACTGATCGTCATATATCCTATCTAACTTATTCATATATATGATCTAACAGATTAATCGATCTAACTTATTGTCATGATATGTATCAAAATAATCATTAATTTATTAAAAATTCTGGTAATATAAATAATACAAATACTATAACAATGTAATTAAATTTTATAAACAATAGCGAGCAATGTAATATAAACGGTGAGAAAAAATTATAATTATCACCGATATTTAAGTAAATGAGATTTTCTCCCACAATAATTTCATCCTATTCTTGTTGGAAAGATTGCTAAATGTCTTTTTAGACATATCTCATTTTACTTACATGTTCACACTGTTGAGCAAATGAGAGCAAAAGAATGGTCTCCTCAAAGCCCATTTTTAATGATATATAAGTCTCGAAGGAAAAAATATTAGGTTTTCATGTGGTCTCTCACACATTCGGACTCTGGATGGTTGTGGTCTCTCACACATTCAGACTCAGGATGGTTGTTGTGGTCTCTCACACATTCAGACTCTGGATGGTTGTTGTGGTCTCTCGCACATTCAGATTCTGGAGGGTTGCTGAGGTCTATCACACATTCAGACTCAGGATGGTTGTTGCGAAGAATATAGAAATGAGAAGTCCAGCTCTTCGTAACTAACGCGAGTAACTGCTCGGTTTGGTGTCTGAAAGACAACTTACAAGGTGAACAACACACAGTTTGTCTACGGTAAGAACTCCTCCCGCCACAAAGTCTGAGCTGCTATGGAAACAAGAATAGCTCATTTCAGGGAGGGTAGCTTCTTTTCCTTCTAGGGCTAATACAGTTGACCAAAGAAAACGAATCCTCTTTTTCTTGCTGATCCAAGCCAAACCCTGTCCTAAACAGTCACCCTACATCCCTACTTGAAATAGTTATACCTCATTACCAAAGTCACCGGTCCAGACGAATGGTTGGGGGAGTTCTTACTTTAGACAAACTATACTCAGATTTAGCAAAGCGTCAGTTGAACTAAGATCCAGGGCATGGCACGTGACCAAATACATGTAAACCACTTTGGACAACTTTTACATGCATGGTTGGATATGCTGCTTCCCGTCAACCGCCATTTTGTCCTTTCTTTCCATGTCAAAATGTGTTACCAGATTTAAATGTATTCTCAAAGAAATGTTTTAATTAATAGTGCAATACTGTTTATCAATAGTGTAAAAATAAAGAACAAACCAACGATAAGAAAAACGAAACTTCACCCCAACGCTTTCCCAGCCCCAATTATTGGTCGAAATGGGCTAGAGTTGGGGCAGAACTCTCTACCCATATCAACACTTCGCATGCTTTCACTATTAGCTTGTGGAGAGTCATAGAAGAAGGAAGTACGTCAGTTTCTCTCTTCATTTTCAAATAAATTAAAATATCTTAAGTTGAAAAACTATATCGAACTGAAAACTTCATTAAGCACTGTTTTAATAGAAAGAGTCATGGAAATATTTTTAACAATTAAATACGAAAAATATCAAGAAAAGAAAAATATCTTAGTACATTCCTATACAACTGAAAAGAGGTGCCAACGACATGGAACCGGTCTTCTCATTGATATGATGTATTCGATCGCTTATAATGGTTAGTAGGAGAGGAGGGTGGAAATCCGTTTCAAGAACCTGTGAAGGTTTGCTCCTAAATGTTGTTTTTACCTAACCTTAGGGGACTGTTTTACATCATATCAATGGAAGCTATAGTTTGTTTAAGCTAAGAACTCCTCCCGCAACAAAGTCTGAGGCCGTCTGGTGCTATGGAAACAAAAATGGCTCATTTTTGGGAGCTTCATTCTAGGACTAACACCGTGGAAAGAGATTCCCTTTCTTTCGCCGAGCCACTCAAAAACAGTGCACCCCTACTTGAAATAATCATACCTCGTTACTATAGTTCCCGCCACAGGTATAGACTAATGTCTGGGGGAGTTGTTATTTTAGACAAACTATAGACTTCTTCACCTTTGAATGTTCTTTGGTTGTTGGAGAGTAGATAAGGTTCTGTTGGGTTGCACGTCTTACCTCTTAGGATACCATCCTGTTATTGAATCAAAACATTTAAAATGCTTTTTTTTTAAAACTTACTAAAACTCTCATCTTTTGGAGGAGAGGAGCATAATAAATGACTTATTGATGCCAACGATACTTATTTAATAGTGGAATTAGGTACTACTGGTTTTGTGTTAACAGGCGTTGTGATACTCATATAGAAACCTTATATAGCCTGATATTAATAATTCCTATTTTATGTCTCAAAACATATAAGATCAAAAACGCTTTTAAAAAAATGACCCGACAAATATTTGATATTAAATGTTATCTTTTTATTTAAATTAGACATGTTTTTTCACTTTCAAATTTCTTTTTTCCAAACTTTAAATACTGCAGATTAATTAATAAATCAGTAAATTTATAAGTATGAAATATTTCAAAATCTTGTTCACAGAGAGAGCAAGACAGGTGAGCTATCTATGACCCAAATTGTTTGTTGCAAGCGAAATCATCAGTAATATATATTAAATAAATTTCAATTAAACAAATATGCATTTAACATTTTGAAAACGGTTAGTACAGTAGTTATTTTAAGAAGTAAAATATCTTGGTTCCCACTTTCATGTTATAGATCAGTTCTAATGATATTTTTTGTAAAAAATAGATTCATCTGCAACTGAGTTGAGTGTATATATAT